CCACCAGGTGACACTGGGAAGAGCGCTAAGGCTGGGATTTACCCACCGCCTCTCGGGCGGCCGGGAGGAAGGGAGTGGGCATGGATGTTTCAGGGAGGACGGGGCAGGACGCACTGGCCGGAAGCAGGAGTTCCATAGCACGGGCACGGCTGGCAGTCCTGTGGTGTCCCCCGCTGGGCATCGCCGTAGTACCCTGGCTGGCACTGTTCACACCGAGGGCCATCCGTGTGGTGCTGGCAGCCCTGGAGGGACAGAGTGTGAGTGGAGGCCAGGCCCCTGGAGGCCGCAGGTCGCTGGGGAGAGGAGGGTGGGCCTCACCTGGCAGGTGCCTGTTTCGGGCTCGCAGACCTCTGCGTGGCCATGGCAGCTGCAGCGTTCACAGGTCCCCAGGTAGAGGCCACTGGGGGTGCGTGTGTAGCCAGTGTCACAGTCCTGGGGCAGGACAGCGGGAGTGGGCAGGGGCACCAGGTGGCCGGGGCGTGGGATGAGCGGAGGAGGAGCCAGGAGCAGCACGGGGGGAGCGGGCTGCACTGGTGATGGGCCCGGGCTCACCTGGCAGGATGGACCCCGATAGCCAGGAGGGCAGGTGCAGTGCTCCACTTCCAGCGCTGGGTCCTGGCCGGTGTCCTCGGGCACGGCCACATCCATGCTGATGCCCGAGAGCCTGGGTGTGACAAGGGCCACAGCGGTGAGCACAAGGCCTGCCTGGGCTGCACTCAGGTCTCAGTGACCCTCCCAATGTCCCTGTCAGGCTGCTGTTGGGCCCTATCTGGATCCCCAACAGGGACACCTGTCCCCCAAGGCCACGAGGGCTGTGGCCAATGGCTTCGACCTGCAGCGCTCCTCAGAAGGTTGCTATCCTTCCTCCCAGGGAGTCACACCAGCCTCCTGCCCTGAGGTGACCAATGACAGGCTGACGCCGGGACAGGGAGCAGCTCCTTTGCCTCCTTTGACTGCCAGTGACTGCCTGACCGGAGCTGCCGTGGGATGCGGCAGGGGTGGACTTGACCTGAGACCAGATCCTTGCTTGGCCCTGCCCTGTGGACTCCTCTAGACTCCTGTGCACGCTGGTCCTCACCTTGGGCTTTGCTTCCAGGGAGCCTAGCCTAGGACAAGCCCTGTGAGGCAGGCACTGTCATAATCTCCATGTCGCAGACGGGGAAAACGGGGCACACAGGGCCACTCAGCCTGTGAGCGGCAGAGCTGGCAGCCTGGCTTAGCCCAGGGCCCCCGCCCAAGCGCCCGCCTGCCCTCCGGCCCAGACACCTGCTCTCGGCTGGCTGTTGGGTGTAGGATGCCTGGATCAGGAGGGTGTCGATGCCCGCCAGTGCCATCAGCAGGTGCTCCCGCGTGGCCGGCAGCCCATCAGATCGCTGCCAGGCTTGCTGCCAAGGGAAGGACACTGCTCATCCCGAAACCCTGGGGTACTGACCCGAGAGAAAGGAGCAGAGTCTGCCCACCTCGGCCCCAGGGAGGGCGCCCAGGACGGTGCGGCTCACCTCGCGGAAGGGCACAGTATAGGTGCTGGGCTGGCCGGGGCTGGGCGCCCGGGCGCTGTGATGCTCCAGGACGATGCCATTGCCTTGCAGCACCACCAGCGGCTGCCCGTGCAGCGCCGTGGAGCCAGGCTGGGGCCGCTGGGTCACCGTGAAGCGCAGCTCACCTCCGTACGAGGTCACCTGGGCACGACATGGACAGGTGCTCGGCGGGGCCCTGACAGGTCCCGTCACTACTCTGGCCACCTCTCCCAGCAGCACCTTGCTGATCTCTGAAGGCCCATGCCCTACGTGCTAAGTCTGCTGTTGGGGACTCCCTCTCCCCTCCAGCCCTGCCCACCTTGTCCCCCCGGAAGCGGGGAGGGAGGCTCCAGAAGTAGGGCCCAGGGAGGAGGCTGTGGAAGGAGGAGAAGACCAGCTCCCCAGGCGTCGGGGATGAGATGCCCTCGCTGGTGATGTGGGTGTTGGCAGCGTGGACCAGGCTGAATCGTATGGGCTCCTCAGAGGCCCCGTGCACCTGGGCCAGGGAGAAGGGGCTGGGGTGGGGCCTTGGCCTGGGACTGGCACTTAGTCCACCCAGCTCCAGGCTCAGTGGTCCTGCCCACCTGCCCACCCGCCTCACCAAGGTACCTGGGAGCGGCTCCAGGAGGAGCTGGTGCAACGGCGACTGACGCCCATGCAGAAGCACTTGAGGCAGCCGTCGGGGTTCTGGGTACTCAGGTGGAAGGAGCCGTCGGCACACTCATTACACAAGCGCCCCACCACGTTGTTCTGCAGGCATAGAGCTGGGAGCTGCCAGATGGCCCCTGGAGGGGCTACTAGAGCTTCTGGCTGAATCCACCCACAGCCTGGCCCAAGCCCAGGGGAGCCACTGAGGCGTCACCACCGTCTGAACAGTAATTTCCAGTTACAGCAGATTATGCAACCATTTCCCCCCTTTTCTCTTTGGCTGCCAGGGGGCTCACAAATTGAGAGGTGAGACCAGCAGTTAGCATAATGGCTATGTCGCTGGACTCCCATGTAGTCAACCACTGTTTGAGTCCCGGACCCGGTGGCTTAAACTCATGCCGGGCGCGTGTGCGTGCGTGCCCAAGATCCCGAGAAGAGAATGGAGGAGAAGGGATTGCAGCGTGGCCATCCCCCCTGGGGGGTGATTTCTCGCTTTCTGTCTCTCTCTGTCTGTCTGGCAAGCGCACACGCCCTATAGCAAAAACCTCTCCAAAAACAAACAAAAAGAAAACAAATTGAGAGGTGTGGTATCTCCATTCTTCATATGAGAAAACAGGCTCAGGGTTGTGAAATGACTTGCACAAGGTCACTCAGCTTGCTCATTCACGCTAAGATTTAAGATCAGGAGGGTCTGCCTCCAAAATTTGTCCAATTCTTTTCACCATTGATGTTTGATTCTTTCCTTCTTAATGCAAATGATTTCTCCTCTCTGAGCCTCCATTTTCTCACCCCCAGACTGGGGATACTATGTCACTGTGTCAGTGTGAGCCCCGATAAACCACGGTAAGGGGACCAGCAGTTAGCGTAATGGCTGTGTCGCTGGATTCCCACGTAGTTGATTGCGGTTCGAGTCCCGGACCCGGTGGCTTAAACTCATGCCGGGCGCATGTGCGTGCGTGCTCAAGATCCCGAGAGGAGAATGGAGGAGAAGGGATTGCGGTGTGGCCATCCCCCTGGAGGATTATTTCTCGCTTTCTGTTTCTCTCTCCCTGTCTGTCTGGCGAGCGCAAGTGCCCTATAGCAAAAACCTCTCAAAAAAAACACACACACACACACAAAAAAAAACCACAGTAAGAACAGAAGTACAGAGAGGAAACAATGTTTGCACAGAGTAACTGGGACTTGAACTCAGGTCACCTGACTCCCTAACCAGCGCTCCTTGCCAATGCCAGGCCCTGTCATGGTGGGAAGACTAGCCAGCAGGCCCAGCAGGCCCAGCCAGGCCACCAACCACTGGCCAAGGAGCTCTGGAGAGTGGGCTTCCTTTCTCCTGTACCCTGTGTTTTTCCGGGGCCCAGGCCCTGGGTGGGGGACGGCACGTACCTTACAGCGGCAGGCCTGCTCGGAGGTCCCCAGGCTGCCTCGCTCATCACAGCGCACGATCTCCTGGTCTGGGGCAGAGTGGGTGTTCAGAGCAGGTGGGGATGGGTTAGGCATAGTCTGGGCAGACAGGGACAGAGTAGGGGGGCTCCCCAAGGATCACGGGGTATCGGCTGGGCTCTAGGACTGGGGCTGCGGCAGGGAGGGAGCAGGTCCAGGAAGGTGTCAGAGGACGGTGGCTGCGATACTCACTAGTAGGCCTGCACTTCCCACCAGGCTGGATGGGGTTGCCCTCATATCCGGGGGCACAGCTAGGGGACAGAGGGGCAGTCAGCGGCACTTCCATGCCTCCATCCAGCACAGCCGGCTCCCCCGAGCCTCCGGCTCATCCTCACCTCTCACAGCGGCGGCCAGTATAGCCTGGGGCACATGCGTCACAAGTGGCCTGGCCATCCGTGTCCAGGAAGCAAGTGTCTGAGAACCTGCAGTATCAGTGGGCATAGCGTGGGACAGGGCCGGGCCACACCTAACGCTGCCACCCTTGGGAATGGCACTGTCCCCATGGACACAGCATGCTGCCAGGTCCGATGTAGCTCCTCGTCCACTATTCTTTCTTTAAAGAATTACTTATTTACTTTGAGAGAGTTTTGCTATAGAGTACTACAGTGTGCTCACTGGAGAGGCAGAGGGGGATAGAGACAGAAAGCGAGAAATCACCCCCAAGAGGGATGGCCACGCCGCGATCCCTTCTCCTCTATTCTCTTGTTGGAATCTTGGGCATGCATACACACGTGCCCGGTATGAGTTTTAAGCCACTGGGTCCGAGACTCGAACCATAGTCAACTCAACTAGGTGGGGGTCCAGCAACGTAACCATTACACATATGCTGGTCTCTGGATTACTTACTTATTTTTAAAAATTTGACTAGAGAGAGATAGAGAGAAAGGGAAAGTGAGAAAGCAAGCTGCCGGGACTCGAACCACAGCTGGCCACATGGGAGTCCAGAGCCCCAGCCACCATGCCTCCTGCTGGCCCAAGCCTGCTGCTTTTGATCTGGTTGCAATAGCAGCCGTTGAAAGGCAGATGACCTCAGGAAACAGGCTCAGAGGGGTCGAGGGGCGCAGGATGACTAGGCGACCAGGCTGGGATATGAACCCAGGTCTCCACCTCTCTGCCCAGCTGGCTGCACCGATCACGTTGCCCACCCACTCGGCCCTGCCCCGCGCTGGGTCTGACCTGCGGGAGGCATCGATGTACGGGCAAGGGCAGGGCCGGCAGGCAGTGGCCGTGGCCTTCGTGGCGTCCCCGAAGAAGCCAGCCTTGCACTTGTTGCACTGAGGCCCCTCCGTGTTGTGCTGGCAATTCTGGGGGAGAGCAGGGGGTTGGGGAGGGCAGCTCAGGCTCTATAGAGGAGGGGCCTCGGGCTCAGCCCTCCCTGCCCAGCGTGCGGAACCCACCCAGCTTGGAGACGGGAGCATCCAGAAAGCTGAGCACCTCACAAGGCAGCCTGTGCCCTGGATGGTACCAAATGCCTGCTTAATACTGGCCTGAACCCACTGCTCTCTTCCAAACTGCACCATGTGGGGGTCACACGCAGTGCCCACCCAGCCTGCATCCCCTTCACCCCCAGTCCCCGGGAGTCCATTCTCTCCACCCTGACGGCTTTTCAGGAATTTGGAACAAACAGCTCTGTCCTACCTGAACCTGCTCTTTGTCAGCTCTGTCATCCCTGCTCTCTCCACGGTTCCCAAGAGACCCGGATGACACCTAGGCCCGTCCCCCTGGGGCTGCCCCTAAGGAACATGCTTTCCATGGTGCCCTCCAGGGCTCGTCTGATCAGGGTGGAGCAGAGTAAGACCTTCACCTCCCTGTCTGACGCTTCTCTCTGCTAACGCATCCGGAGGTCACGGTGCATCTGGCAGCCACGGCGGGTAATGTAGAGGCGTGTGCCAAGAGAACCTCACACCTTGCCCCTGCCCCCGTCCAGCACCCAAGTGCCAGCTGGCACTACTCACCAGGCAGTGGCCATACACAGGGTCACAGGAGCTGGCGTGCCCATTGCAATTGCAGCCAGAGCAGGTGCCCAGGTAGGGCCCACCAGGTACCCGGGTGAAGTGGGCATCACAGCTCTCGCAGGACAAGCCGGAATAGCCAATGGGGCACCTGCAGGGATAGGCCCAAGAGGGTGGCTGCGGGAACGCCAGGCCCTGCTGGTTCTCCTCCATCCCTACAGGGTCTCTGGGGTCCCAGCCCCGCAGGGTCAGGTACCTGCACTCCTCCACGCTGTGGGCACGGCCGTGGCCGGTGGCATGGGCGACAGTGGTGTCCATGGAGACATCACTCAGCCCCACGCTGGCCATCTTGGTGTTGTACACTGTCTGGATGAGCACGGCCTCCAGGCTCTGCAGCACCTGCAGCATCTCCGCCCGCTGCACCGGCTGGCCGGACTCGTGGACCCAGTGCTCCTGCAATGGTCACAGGTCAGCGCCCACCAGCTTGCCTCCTGCCTCCCCCACAGCCCTGGGCTCAGCTGTGACCCACCTCAGAGAACTGGACCTGACGCTGGTTCAGAGCGCTGGGGTGGGTGGGTGTGTGGCCTCGGGAGAGTAGGCGGCGTCCGGCTCCCACCAGGACCACGTCTGGCCGCTGCACTAGCTTCAGGGCCGCCAGGGCCAGGTTAGAGCGG